ATTTAGTAATTATAGGCGTCTAATGATTTATTTTTTACGTTACGGTATATATTATTATTAAATTAAAAATTCTAAATAATATTTTATAAAATATAAAAACAATCAAATAATTTTTTGTGCAAATAAAATTATTAAATCAATATTGTAGGTGGAAAACATGAAACACTGTTAAAAAAATTGAAACATAAATTACATAAGTTTTAAAAAAAGTATCGATCCTTTTTATAAAAAGTATGGACACTTTCAATATAATAGGTAAACATATGATGTAATAGGTAGCCCTTATATAATGTAATAGGTATCGTTTATATAATGTAATAGGTATCTATCTCGCATGTGAGTACTTTATTCCAACCATGTGACAAGTGTGACAACTCCATCAACTCACAACTCAGCTTTGAACTCAATCAATATTGTCTTTTAGCTTGATGGTTCATAAAGCATGTTACTTGAACAGTATGAATCAATTATGCAATTTTCATGTTCAATTTAACACTGCATTTCAAATTCATTTCATATGTAATTGGAGTTTGAATTTAAATTTCAATTTGAGTTTGAATTTCAATATATATTTCGGCTCCACTATAAATATTAGCCCAAGCCAATATGCATGTTATCATTGATTATTCCTAATTTCCATTGTTTTTTTTCCAACTTATAAACGCGAGGGAAATCCCGACCATTTTATTTTTTGGTCAACTTTAAAGCGTCAGAAACGTTTCGGGCGTATGATCTGGGTGGTATACAAGAAATGTAACAAATAGCAACTAAAATCATAAGTTGAGTACCACCCAAATCATAAGTCTGAAATACTTCCGATGCTCATCAAAATCCAAAGCTCATATGGTGCCAAGCAAAAGGAAATCAAAATCCAAATCTCATATGATGCCAAGCAATAGGTAGTGGTTATATTGTAAAGTGTCTATCCTTTTTATAAAAGTGTCCATACTTTTTTCACTGTGGAAAACATTAATTTAAGGTTATCTTTTGAGTGAGTTTTAAGATATTAATTTAGTAATTATAGGCGTCTAATGATTTATTTTTTACGTTACGGTATATATTATTATTAAATTAAAAATTCTAAATAATATTTTATAAAATATCAAAACAATCAAATAATTTTTTGTGCAAATGAAATTATTAAATCAATATTGTAGGTGGAAAACATGAAACACTGTTAAAGTATCGATCCTTTTTATAAAAAGTATGGACACTTTCAATATAATATAATGTAATAGGTAAATTTGCAATGCTATCGGTATAAATATACCGGTTTACTTATAAAATAGGTAAATATAAGCGCCACCTATTACATTATATAAGCGCTACCTAGTATGTTATTGTACTTTATAATATTTCCGGTTAAATAATATAACATAATCGGTCTAAATTTTAACCGGTCACTTGTTTAACCGGTCACGCCGTATATTAGCCGTTTTTTAGGCGCCGCACCGCAGAACCACCCAAAAAGATGCACTTGAGCGAAAATGAAGGCATCGAAGGGAACACCTTCGTTGTGACGGGTGGCCTCGGGTTCGTTGGCTCAGCTCTTTGCTTAGAGCTCGTGCGCAGAGGTGCTCGCCAAGTTCGAGCCTTTGACCTCCGACACCACTCCCCTTGGTCAGACCAACTCACCAGCCATGGCGTCCGCTGCATCCAAGGTTTATTTTTTCCTGTTTTTCCCCTAATATTCGGAAGAAACAAGAGCATGGGTTTAAAGTTTTAGAACTAAATTCTTACTTGTAATATGCAAAAAACTGGGTGTAAGCTTAAAGTTTGTGCAGTGCCTTCAAATTCCGATTTTGAGAAACCCTGTACACATAATTTCATTGATTTTTGCATTTAGATGTTTGCCTACCCTTAACTGTTTTGTTACTTACTGCTACTACAGGCGATCTTGTCTCGAAAAAAGATGTTGAAAATGCTCTCCGTGGTGCCGGTTGCGTTTTTCACCTGGCTTCTTATGGGATGTCAGGGAAAGAAATGCTTCAGTTTTCTCGTGTCGATGCAGTGAATATCAATGGAACCTGCCATGTCTTGGAGGCTTGCATTGAATCCGGGATCACGAGGCTTGTTTATGTCAGCACATATAATGTTGTGTATGGTGGGAAGGAGATTGTCAATGGCAATGAGGCCTTGCCCTATTTCCCTATCGATTATCACATCGATCCATATGGGCGAAGTAAATCAATTGCTGAGCAATTGGTTCTCAAGTACAACGGTCGCCCTTTAAAGTAAGTAGATTGATCAAAATTGTAAACCAAATCTTTGAGTTTCCAATTTACTGTGTCATATGATGAACTATCGGTTGAAATGTATGTGGACTTTACTTAAATGACATGACGTACTCTAGTGTATTGGATGATCTAGATTAATTGTTACTGAAGTTTGCTATTGCTCGTGCATTCTCTTTGCCGTTTAATTCTACGATGATAAATGAGTTGCATGGAAAATTCTTCTGTGCAGGAAGAACAGTGGAAAGCATCTTTATACCTGTGCAGTTCGTCCAGCTGCTATATATGGACCGGGTGAAGAGCGACACTTTCCTAGGATAGTATCTATGGCAAAGTTGGGTTTGGTTCCATTCAAAATAGGTGATGCTAATGTGAAAACAGACTGGGTTTATGTGGATAACGTGGTACTCTCACTTCTATTGGCAAGCATGGGACTTTTAGATGGCATTCCTGGAAAAGAAGGGCGTCCAGTTGCCGCTGGCCAACCTTACTTCATATCTGATGGTAATTAACATTGATCAATGTTTTTTTCTTTCTTGTTTTTGGCCCCATTAGTTGTGCAAAACTATTTGTCGTGGCAGTTCAATCCATTGAGACTAGGCGTGGGTTATAATTCATTGGTCTTTTTCTTAGATGCTAGTTGCTTTTTGCAGGATCTCCAATCAACTCTTTTGATTTCATCCGACCACTTTTAAGAAGTTTAGACTACGACTTGCCAAAGTCCTGGCTTGCTGTTTCGCATGCTCTTTTCCTGGCAAAGATTTTCTGGGCTGTATACTCGATGTTATATCCATTTTTGAATCGATGGTGGCTTCCTCAGCCCTTCATTCTTCCCGCCGAAGTATATAAGGTTTGTTTAATATCTTTTTCCCCCTTTCCTGGTCTGGGTTATGTCTCTGCTTCAGAACTTTTGCATAAAGCCCCAGAAATAAATAGTCAATGATCCATTCTGGTTTTGTTTAGTAAAAATGTTGGTCTTATATATATATACGTAAATGATGATGGTGGTGATGATAGTTAGTCGAGGCGGCAAGACAATTTTTGTAGTAAAAACCATGTTTAACGAACCTGATGCATGTTGGCAGGTCGGTGTTACACATTACTTCTCGTTCCTTAAAGCACAGCAGGAGCTTGGATATGTTCCGATGGTGAGTCCCCGTGAAGGCATGGCAGCAACCATCACATACTGGCAGGATCGGAAAAGGAAAAGTTTGGACGGACCTACAATATATCCATGGATATTGAATGTGACTGGAATGTTTCTACACTTTGCTACTGCTTGGTTCCCACCCGTAGGACCACTGTCAGTCCTTAGATCTATCGGACTTTTCTTATTCCGATCGATGTTTGGAATACGGCTAGCGTTTTTCTTAGCTGTTGCAGCACATATCGGAGAAGCCATGTATGCGTGGCGGGTGGCAAAAAGGGTTGATCCTGTTAATGCAAGAGGATGGTTCTGGCAGACTTTTGCGCTTGGGTTTCCCTCGTTGCGGTTACTATTGAAGAGAGCCAAAAAAGCAGCGTAGCATGAGCAGTGCTTGCATTATTGTACTTTCAACTTTCCTGTGGTGATGGTAGAGATCTCGAATGGTTTGTTTGGTTAATGGTTTAAACTTTGTGAAATGACTTACCCCTCTCTCCAAACAAAGTTGGAGAAAGTTTCGCCAAAGGAAAAGATAGAAAGATTGAGAGATAATCTTGGTTAATTATTATTTTTTAATTACGAAAGCGAGAAAGAATGACAAATTGATTCCGAGTATCATATGACCCAGTGCAATTAATTCCAGTATCCGATATATGATAATTGATCTTCGTGTTGAGACAGAGACCGTCATCTTTATTACCGAAGAATCGAGTACCCTCATATTTAGGTATCTAAAAGTACAGACACCCGATTATGAACACCCAAAATCGAGATGAAATAAATAAAAGAAATTTAAATCAAACTAATCTCCACTAGAACAACATCATAATCATCAACATCTCCCTTCCACTAACTTCTTGTTGTGATTTGCAACGAAAGCAGGAGAGTCAAATCTTAAACACATCATGATGTGATCCTACCGACCACCAAGTTTAAACAAAACATGCTCACAACTTTGAAGTTCTTCCAAGATGATTCTAAGAGAGTCTTGCCTTATTTTATTATTTATTTACTTATTTATGCATTACATGTCATGTGAATATGTTTATCTTATTCTTAATTATGCTTGAATGTTATATGCTATCATTTATATGTATAATATATGATATTCATGCATGACTTTTTAATTCACATCTTTATATAACTCATTCAATGCATATGCATTCATAGTTACCTCATTTTCATTATTATCATATGTGGAAGCATGCATTCATAATTATCATAGCTCAATTCCTATCTAATTATTTGTTTACATCCTTTGTCTAGGGTCATTGGATGCTAAGAAGACTAAAGGCAATTGAAGAGTTGGTTGGATAGTTCACGTCAGTCAGCTTGATCTACATTTTTGAACATGTTCCAAGCATCTTTGGGTGATGAAGTCTTCTTAACATTTAATCCCCTATCTCGTAGATTTCCAACGCATTTTGAATCACATCAATCCGATATCGGGAGCTTGATCTATGCCCAGATTACTGAAGACAGTGCAGGCTGGAAATTAATACGGGATTTGCAACCATTCATCTCCTTCAAAGGACTTATGCATGGGAGGAATTAATGAAGACATGCATGGACGAGAAAAGAATATTAAAATGAATCAGAACATTTGTGAGGAGGTGCAAGGATTCATTCAAAGGCTTTTAAATTCATCCATTCATGCATATTCATGCAAGAAGCCAAATAGTCATGTTCACACAAGGGGGAAGAATTTAAGCCAAGATACATTCACGAACATTCATTCATAGAAGACAAATCAACAAGTTCACACAAGGTGGGATGAATTCGGCCAAAGGATGTATTCCATTAAAAGATGAACATCCATTCATCAAAATTCATTCACCTAAGCTATGCTTTGTATCTAATTAAAGTATGAACACTCATCCATGAAGGTGTACTCATTAAATATTTTGTATTCACACCATGCACTCTTAGGCCTATAAATAGATTTCCATTCATTTGTAAAAGAAACCAATTCACTTTGTTTAATCAAATATTTGTGAGAGTTTCTCTCTTTAGTTCTTAAGTGAACTTTATCGACTTATCAAGCTTATGCTTGTGGCGTCACCCCTATCTATGTCACCCTGATACTTCTGGTTCCTATCTCTTTATAGATAGTGGGTCAAAGTCCTTGTTTACCATCCCTTAAAGAAGTAATATAAAGTTTGGGCCTTTGTTCATTAACATTGGTTCTTCTTTGAGTCTTCTTTGAGATATTACTTTTCATATTCATCTCCATCACCATCATTCTACTTCCATTATCATACTTCATCATTTCCTTTAAACATATCACCAACTTATATATATTTTCCGCTGCCATATTTATCTTTCCATTTCATTACTTCCATTTAACCATTTTTTTAGCTTTCTTGTTTGTGCAGGATACTTGTTGCTTTCCTAGATCGAAACAATCAAAGGTACAACCTTGACTTCACCATCCATCCAAGTGAGGTTAGGTTGAATTGTATCATATGGTATCAGAGCTAAGGTGGATTGCAACAAGAACAAGCAAAAGCAACATCCTACCATTCAATAAAAAGAAAATCAAAAAGAGAAGTGCCAAAAGAAAAAAATCAGCAAGTTAATCCCAACATCAACAAGGGATTTTAAGTGAAGAAAAACTAAAGAAAGGAAACAAAGAAATCAAAATGCAAAGAAGTGCCAAAGGTGACAAGCAACATCATTATTTCAACCGATCCTAAGGAAGTCTTCAAGACCTTTGATTGTTCTTCTAGGAAGGTGGTGAGTATCTTTACATAGTAAGTGAACCTTTCTTTATTTTTCTTCCTTTTATAAGACCACCCTTCATTATTTAATCTTTCTACCTTTCTATTTTTTTCCTCTACACTAACAAATTTTTCAGCCGACGTCCATAGCACTTGAAAGGTCTCGAGTTAGTTCTTTTAAGAACTTTACAAGAGATGAACGAGTGGAAAAAGTCTAATCGAGTGTGCATGTAACCCCCTAGACCCGGCCTATGCTTTTCGACTAAGTCTAGTGATCACATTATGATTATTAAAGACATTTTTCGAAACCGTTATTCCATCAATATAAAATCACATTATAAATAACATGAAATTATAAACAAATTATACTATCAAAATCCAACTCGTAAATATAGTACCAATAAATAATAATTTAATTTAAAACATGTCTTCAAATTCAATATCACAATAAACCGAGCAGTATTAGCAAAAGAGTTATCATTATAAAATCCGATATTTTAAAATAAGGTCCATGTCACCAAAATAAAGTCAACTTGCCAGATAAAAACATTACAATCTGATTTACTTCAAGAGATATGTTGATCCTCCAAGTGCTCGAACCAAGGTATCTAACCAACAGTATCTGAAAGGGGAAAACATTTTCAAAAGGTGAGCTAGGCTCAGTGTGTCCCAACATTTCCATAAAATCACAATAGGTACAAATCATAGTCCAGTAATCTCACAAATTCGTAAAAGAGTTTAACTTTTTGAAAATCATAGTTTAAACCCTTTTCTGGTACACCATCAGTAGTTCCCAAAATTATTTTCCATATAGCTTACTTTATGCACATAGCAAAAAGAAAGCCGACTTAAGGATAGGCTCTGAAGCTTGTATCCTTAAGCCCAAGTCAATAAGTCCATATAGCTTACCCTAAGCACACATCAAAGGAAAGCCGACCTAATGAAACATCTTGGGGCCCTCAAGAGTCACATTAGGCCCAGTTAGCTTGATCAGAGCTATTCCATCGTAATTCAATTCCAAAATTCAATTGCACCGTGACATAAATTCCATAAATCCAAAAACATGGTAATCATATACCATTTCAAAACAAAAATTAGATAGCAGCCATATTCCATAAATTGTCACATTAAATTGGTGCATCAATAAAACAATAACCAATGAATTCGGTGTACCACATATTAAAACCAATAAAACAGTTCAGTAATAAGTAGGGAACACACCTCGACAATAGATTCAAATAACAAATCTACTGATTGCTGGTTTCACCACGCTCTGCTACAGTTTTCGAACGGGTGAATACTGGTACACGTGGTTTAACTGATCTAGAAGAGCTGGGTCGAGCTGTAGAACGATCCGGAGAGTCTCTTGTACCTTCAAACAATAATATTTATCAGTCCCAAATCCTATTTAATTGTTCAAAGCTAAACTTCTTAAGTATATAAGCATTTTTCGGGTTTGACTATCAATTTGAGGTATTTCGAGTCTGAATTTGGCCAAACGGATTGCGGAATCGGAATCAGGGCGTCAAAAAACATATAGTATGACTTTCCGAAAATTTAAATTCTTGGTCAAAGTCAAAGTTAACCACTTTGACCGTAGATTTGGAGACCTTCGGATTCGAATTTGACAAAACGGACCACGGAAACGGATTCGGCACGTCGAAAACTATCAGGATAGGTATACTCAGAAAAGATTAACGGTCGTTTAATGCTCGGTCAAAGCCATTTTAAGTTTTGGTCAAAGAAAGTCAACGATCAACGGTCAACGGTCGGGTCGGGTCAACGATCGGGTCGGGTCAACGGTCGGGTCGGGTCAGACCGGTCAAATCGGTTCGAACCGGTTAAACCGGTTTCCAGCAGCCACTCGCCCTGCGGCGGCGCGTGAGGCGTCCTCCGGGGCCCTAAAAATCCCGGAAAAATTTCTAAAAATTATTTTGAGCGATTTCGAGATACTTACAACGATCGGTTCAAATTTTTGAACGGTGGAGAGCTCGATTTCAAATCGGCCGAATCTTTGACTGCACCACCTCCTCACGCGCCGCCGTCTACGGCGGACAAGGTTGACACCGGTGAACTCGGAACGACACAAGGAACACGATGGTGCGGGAGGTGTCGTAAACGGAGCAACGATCAGCGGTGAATTTAAGATTTCCTCGGCGATAGAGCTAACAAAACCGTCGCTACTTTGACTGGAAATTCCCGACGTTTGGCCGCGTTTCGCTTCAATTAATTTGAAGGCTTTGTTCCTCGCTCGATGATGAACACAACGGTGGTTTCAAAACAACGATAGGAATTCGGACGACGTTTGGATCGGACTTGAAAGTGGAGGTGTGAGAGGAAGAAAATTAAAGAAATAGCCTTTGTGATTTCTGATTGTAAATCAGAAATCACGCTTAAATCATCAAGCCTACCGACAGTTTTAGGGGAAATTCAGGGCTTGGTCCCTGAATTTCCTTTACTTCAAAAATGGCATACAAGTTTCCATAAATTTTAATTTAGTCACTTAATTTCACTCATTTTCATAATTTACCTCCAATTTCAATTAATATTATTTTGTAAATATTCGGGTTGTTACAATTCTCCCCCTCTACAAGAAATTTCGTCCTCGAAATTTACTTTACGAGAATAGTTGAGGAAACTGAGCCTCCATTGACTCCAATGTCTCCCAAGTAGCTTCTGAGGGGCCTCGATTACTCCACTGAACTTTGACCATTGGAATTCGTCTATTCCGAAGAACTCGTTCATCTCTCTCTAAGATCTGAATGGGCTCCTCTTCATATGACAAATCAGGTCTCAGCTCTACTTCTTCAACCTGAATAATGTGACCTGGATCTGGACGGTATCTCCTCAACATTGATACATGAAAGACATCATGAATACGACTTAGCTCAGAAGGAAACTCAAGCTGATATGCAACAGGTCCTACCCTCTTCAAGATACGAAATGGTCCAATAAATCTTGGACTCAATTTACCCTTACGCCCGAATCTCAATACTTTCTTCCAGGGTGAAACTTTCAAAAAGACCCGATCTCCCACTTCAAACTGTATATCCTTCCTTCTTTGATCTGCATAAGATTTCTGCCTATCAAATGCCTCTTTCAGACGGTCACGGATTAATCTGACTGTGTCCTCCGTCTCTCGCACTAACTCAGGTCCCAACGTTTTCCTATCACACAACTCAGTCCAACAGATCGGAGTGCGACATTTACGCCCATAGAGCACTTTATATGGTGCCATACGAATGCTGGTCTGATAACTGTTATTGTAAGCAAATTCAGCCAACGGCAAAAAGTTCTCCCAACTACCATGAAAATCGATTACGCAACCCCGCAACATATCCTCCAGAATCTGAATTACTCTCTCAGATTGACCATCCGTTTGTGGATGAAAGGATGTACTATAATCCAATCTTGTTCCCAAAGCCGTATGTAACGCCTTCCAAAATCTCGAAGTAAATCTCGGATCTCGATCAGAAATAATAGACAATGGAACACCATGCAATCTGACAATCTCTGAAATATACAATCTTGCCAGCTTATCCAAAGTATAATTTACTCGCACAGGAATGAAGTGAGATGACTTTGTAAGTCTGTCAACAATCACCCAAACTGAATCTTTTTTCGAAGGAGTCATAGGCAAGCCAGTAACAAAATCCATAGTAATACTCTCCCATTTCCATTCAGGAATCTTGATAGGCTGTAACAAACCTGATGGATGTTGATGTTCTGCCTTAACTTGCTGACAAGTCAAACACCTAGCCACAAAGTCAGATATGTCTTTCTTCATACCAATCCAATAATACCTCTCTCTCAAATTCCGGTACATCTTATCTCCTCCGGGGTGCATAGCATATGGACTACTATGAGCCTCAGTAAGGATAGTCTGCCTCAACTCAGCATCATCAGGCACACAATATCTACCTTTAAAGCATAAAACTTCATCCTGATCAATTGCGTAATCTGAGTTTGTCCCCTGCTCTACTTGCTCAAAGATGGAAAGCAAGGAGCTATCAAGGGGCTGCTTAGCTTTGATCTCATCAACCAAGGTCGGCTTAACTTGCAATTCTACTAACAAAGTGCCATCGTCATATAAATTCATCTTGGCCATTAAAGACCTCAACTCCGATACCGTCTTTCGACTCAAAGCATCTGCTACAATGTTAGCTTTACCAGGGTGGTAATCAATCACACAATCATAATCCTTTAGAAGTTCTAACCAGCGACGCTGTCTCAAATTAAGTTCCTTCTGGGTCAGAAGATACTTTAAGCTCTTATGATCTGTGAAAATGTAACACTTCTCTCCATAAAGATAGTGTCTACAAATCTTCAAGGCAAAAATTACTGCTGCCAACTCTAAATCGTGAGTAGGATTGTTACTCTCATGCAGCCGCAGCTGACGGGATGCATAAGCCACCACCTTACTTTCCTGCATTAAAACACAACCAAGTCCTGAATGTGAAGCATCACTATACACTGTAAAATCCTTCCCGAACTCTGGTTGAATCAACACCGGTGCTTGATTCAAAACCGCCTTTAATTTCTCAAAGCTCTCCTGTTGTGCCTCGCCCCAGTCAAACAGCACATTCTTCCTTAACAACTATGTCAAAGGAGAAGCAATGATCGAGAAGCCCTCAACAAAACGTCGATAATAACCAGCCAAGCCCAAGAAACTGCTGATTTCAGATACGTTCTTAGGTCGTTTCCAATTCATAATAGCCTCTATCTTGCTGGGATCAACCTGAACACCTCGCGCAGAAATAATATGCCCCAGAAATGACACTTCTTGAAGCCAAAACTCACATTTGCTTAGTTTGGCATATAGACGATGCTCTCTCAAAGTCCGCAGAACGATCTTCAAATGCTCATCATGCTCTGCCTCAGTACGAGAATAGATCAGAATATCGTCAATGAAGACCACCACAAATTGATTCAAATATGGTCAGAACACCCGATTCATCAAATCCATAAAAGCTGCAGGAGCGTTCGTCAAACCAAAAGGCATCACTAAAAATTCATAATGACCATATCTAGTGCGAATGGCCGTTTTTGCAACATCAGATCCTTTAACTTTCAATTGATAATACCCCGAACGAAGATCAATCTTAGAGAATACAGTAGCTCATCGCAATTGATCAAATAAGTCATCAATCCTGGGTAATGGGTATTTATTCTTGACCGTCATCTTGTTCAATTTTCGATAGTCAATACATAATCTTAGCGACCCATCCTTTTTTTTCACGAATAGAACTGGAGCTCCCCATGGTGAAGTACTATGTCGGATAAATCCTCGATCGAATAATTCTTGCAATTGGACTTTCAACTCCTTAAGTTCCTTTGGAGCCATACGATAAGGTGCCATAAAAATAGGTGAAGATCCCGGATAAGTCTCAATCTCGAACTCTACCTCTCTATCAGGAGGTAACCCAGGCAACTCCTCCGGAAAAACATCAGGAAACTCACTAACTGTACGAATCTCCTCGATCGTGGACAATGCACCTTTGGTGTTCAAAATACAAGCAATGAAGGTCTCATATCCCTTCCGGATCATATGATCAATTTCCATCGCTGAAACTATATTGGAGAGATAACCACGCCGTTCACCAATTAACACAACAGTCCGACCATCTAAAGTCTTCAGAGTAGCCCGCTTGTATTCGCAATCCAGCTTTACCTTGTGTTTATTCAACCAATCCATTCCAAGAATTAGATCGAACTCCCCTAAAGGAAGTTCCATAAGATCAGCGAGAAAAATTTCTCCCTGAACCTCGAGAGGACAACGCCGAAATACTTTATTCACTAATACCGCTTGTCCTACTGGACTTGTAACTGTAACAGTATTTTCAGTGTTCTCGATCGGAATCTGAAGGTTTCGAGATACTGAGCTCGATACATAGGAGTGAGTGGAGCCATTGTCCAATAATGCAAAGTATGGGGTAGAATAAATAGTAAATGTACCTGCAATAACCTCAGGCTCATCTCTGTCATCACGACGTCTAGTTGCATAAACTAAAGCTGGCTGTCTAGCCTCAGAAGCTGTTGGCCCTCTATTTTGCTGAGGTCGGGCTCTACTGTCTGTCCTGGACGCTGATCCTCGAGTCTTTCCTTGATTACGATCTCTAATCGGGGTCTGTACAGTAGTCTGCGAACGCACAGGAGTTTGGGTAGTGGTATGCTCAAACGAAACTAACTGAGGACAATCCCTCCGATAATGACCACTAGATCCACACTGATAGCAAAGACCCATCTTCTTACGACACTCTCCTGAGTGCTGTTTACCACAATACTCACAAAGGGGCCCATTATAATACGACGAGGAACCGCCTCGACTGACAGCTAAAGGTGAGGATGCTGCAGGCCTGAAACGTGTATTGCTTCTCTGAGGGGCTGAAGTACGAGTCCTCTTTCCGGACTGTGCTGATGACTCCATCGGGCCTGAAAATTTCTTAGATCGATCTTGATCAACACGCTCTCTACCAGAAGCTAAAACCTCCACCTCTTCCGCATCTTTGGCTCTGCCCACCAGCACATCAAATATCTCATCCTGATGGGTTACAACTTGCCTACGCAGCTCGTATCTGAGTCTAAGGGCAAATTTACGACATCGATCTCTCTCCGTAGGTACCATACTGAATCTATACTTCAGGAACTCGATCTCATATTCAGAAACAGTCATGTCTCCCTGAACCAGGTCTTGAAACTGTTGTCGTCTCTGAGCTAAGTAGCGCTCTCCCAGAAAACGGCTCCGAAAGCGATCCTTAAAGAAATTCCAGGTCAAACGATCGATAGGAACACTACTGGTCATTGACTCCCACCAAGTGTAGGCATTGCCATCTAACATCGCCACATCACCCTGATATCTCTTAGTTGAGTCCAAACCCAACTGATCCATGCGTCTCTCTGTATCCTGGAGCCAATCCTCAGCTTCAGTAGGAGCTCCACGTATTTGTCCCCCAAAAGTTCTAACTCCATTGGCAATCAAAGTCTGCGAAATAAGAACCTCAGCTACAACACCAGTAGCTCTGACTGCTCCCTGTATTAACTGCAGAAATTGTCTACCAAAATTCTCATCCAAAGCAACTCCGGTAGACTCTGACTCAATATCGGTCGCTCCTATTATCGGTGTAGTCATGCCAATACCAGCGGCAGGAGGCAGATCCGTTGGGGTCGTAGGAGCATGATCACCCATCGGATGTGGGGGATCTACCCGTATCTCATCGATCGGATCTGCGAATCTAGCCACTCGACCTCGTCCACGGCTAGTTCGACGACCACGTCTAGCACTCATTTTGATGGATCTCAAGTTTACTACAGAAGATAAACTTAGGGTTAGATAAGCACTTGGAGTCTCAAACATAGTTAAAATCTTAATAACTTTGTGACATGGCCTTAGTAACTCGTTTTGTAAAATATTTCAAAACCATATTTTCAATGTGGACTCATACACAGTCCGAGGGTTAAAAACCAAAAGCTCTGATACCAATAAATGTAACCCCCTATTCCCGGCCTATGCGTTTCGACTAAGTCTAGTGATCACATTATGATTATTAAAGACATTTTTCGAAACCGTTATTCCATCAATATAAAATCACATTATAAATAACATGAAATTATAAACAAATTATACTATCAAAATCCAACTCGTAAATATAGTACCAATAAATAATAATTTAATTTAAAACATGTCTTCAAATTCAATATCACAATAAACCGAGCAGTATTAGCAAAAGAGTTATCATTATAAAATCCGATATTTTAAAATAAGGTCCATGTCACCAAAATAAAGTCAACTTGCCAGATAAAAACATTACAATCTGATTTACTTCAAGAGATATGTTGATCCTCCAAGTGCTCGAACCAAGGTATCTAACCAACAGTATCTGAAAGGGGAAAACATTTTCAAAAGGTGAGCTAGGCTCAGTGTGTCCCAACATTTCCATAAAATCACAATAGGTACAAATCATAGTCCAGTAATCTCACAAATTCGTAAAAGAGTTTAACTTTTTGAAAATCATAGTTTAAACCCTTTTCTGGTACACCATCAGTAGTTCCCAAAATTATTTTCCATATAGCTTACTTTATGCACATAGCAAAAAGAAAGCCGACTTAAGGATAGGCTCTGAAGCTTGTATCCTTAAGCCCAAGTCAATAAGTCCATATAGCTTACCCTAAGCACACAACAAAGGAAAGCCGACCTAATGAAACATCTTGGGGCCCTCTAGAGTCACATTAGGCCCAGTTAGCTTGATCAGAGCTATTCCATCGTAATTCAATTCCAAAATTCAATTGCACCGTGACATAAATTCCATAAATCCAAAAACATGGTAATCATATACCATTTCAAAACAAAAATTAGATAGCAGCCATATTCCATAAATTGTCACATTAAATTGGTGCATCAATAAAACAATAACCAATGAATTCGGTGTACCACATATTAAAACCAATAAAATAGTTCAGTAATAAGTAGGGAACACACCTCGACAATAGATTCAAATAACAAATCTACTGATTGCTGGTTTCACCACGCTCTGCTACAGTTTTCGAACGGGTGAATACTGGTACACGTGGTTTAACTGATCTAGAAGAGCTGAGTCGAGCTGTCGAAAGATCCGGAGAGTCTCTTGTACCTTCAAACAATAATATTTATCAGTCCCAAATCCTATTTAATTGTTCAAAGCTAAACTTCTTAAGTATATAAGCATTTTTCGGGTTTGACTATCAATTTGAGGTATTTCGAGTCTGAATTTGGCCAAATGGATTGCGGAATCGGAATTAGGACGTCAAAAAACATAAAGTATGACTTTCCGAAAATTCAAATTCAAATTCTTGGTCAAAGTCAAAGTCAACCACTTTGACCATAGATTTGGAGACCTTCGGATTCGAATTTGACAAAACGGACCACGGAAACGGATTCGGCACGTCGAAAACTATCAGGATAGGTATACTCGGAAAAGATTAACGGTCGTTTAATGCTCGGTCAAAGCCATTTTAAGTTTTGGTCAAAGAAAGTCAACGGTCAACGGTCAACGATCGGGTCGGGTCAACGGTCGGGTCGGGTCGGGTCAACGGTCGGGTCGGGTTAGACCGGTAAAATCGGTTCAGACCGGTCAAATCGGTTCGAACCGGTTGAAACCGGTCAAACCGGTTGAAAACCGGTTAAACCGGTTTCCAGCAGCCACTCGCCCTGCGGCGGCACGTGTGGCGCGTGAGGCATCCTCGGGGGCCCTAAAAATCCCGGAAAAATTTCTAAAAATTATTTTGAGCGATTTCGAGATACTTACAACGATCGGTTCAAATTTTTGAACGGCGGAGAGCTCGATTTCAAATTGGCCAAATCTTTGACTGCACCACCTCCTCACGCGCCGCCGTCTACGGCGGACAAGGTTGACACCGGTGAACTCGGAACGGCACAAGGAACACGATGGTGCGGGAGGTGTCGTAAACGGAGCAACGATCAGCGGTGAATTTAATATTTCCTCGGCGATAGAGCTAACAAAACCGTCGCTACTTTGACTGGAAATTCCCGACGTTTGGCCGCGTTTCGCTTCAATTAATTTGAAGGCTTTGTTCCTCGCTCGATGATGAACACAACGGTGGTTTCAAAACAACAATCGGAATTCGGACGGCGTTTGGATCGGACTTGAAAGTGGAGGTGTGAGAGGAAGAAAATTAAAGAAATAGCCTTTGTGATTTCTGATTGTAAATCAGAAATCACGCTTAAATCATCAAGCCTACCGACAGTTTTGAATTTCCTTTACTTCAAAAATGGCATACAAGTTTTCATAAATTTTAATTTAGTCACTTAATTTCACCCATTTTCACAATTTACCTCCAATTTCAATTAATATTATTTTGTAAATATTCGGGTTGTTACAGTGCAAGATCAAAAGGGGAATTGAAAAAGCCAATATATATTCCCGAGTGCAAACACGAGCGTTGAGTGGAGCATCATCATTTTTTTTGGAGTAATCGTGAGGATTTGTGAGTGATTATTGGTAAGGTCCTTTCATCTTATTCAACTATTAATTTTTCACTAACAATTCTCCCATCTTTCTAATGGAATACGGACAACAAAGGAGGAATCCATTTCATACTCGTTTTCATGTGAATGATAAAGTATGCCTTGTAGCCATTGATGGTGGTAGTTGTGCAAATCTTGCTAGCACATACATGGTTGAGAAGTTGAGGCTTATAACATTCAAACATCCCAGTCCATATGTTTTGCAAGGATTAAATGAAGATGAAGAGTTAGAAGTCATAGAGCAAGTACGTGTGTCATTTTCAATTGGGGGATATGAAGATGAAGTTTTGTGTGATGTTGTTTCTATGAATTCAAGCCATCTACTCCTTGGACGTCCTTGGCAATTCGATAAACGAGCATTGTATGATGAGTTCTCCAACAAATATTCATTCAAACACCAAGGGAGAAAGATCGTATTGGTTCCAATGTGCCCAAATCAAGTACATGAATGCCAAGTTATCGTCAAATCACGTATAGAGGAATGGAAGAAAACTAAAGCCATGAAGAAAGTTGAAAGAGAAGTTTCACGTGAGAAACAAATAACAGTGGAGGGAGATCAAAATGAAAATGAGACAATTGATGTGAGAAACGTTGGAGTCGAAAATGAGAAAGTTGAAAAGATTGAATTTGGGAGCATAGGGGGAAGTACGCGTGGAAGAGAAAATGAAAAGATTCCAAGTGAGGTTGTGGTTAAAAGATATGATGGAGTTGAACATGCACAAATCAAAGAAGAACATTGTGAGAAAACCAAGACATTTGGAGTTGAAAATGAGAGTGTGATTTTTCGTGAGAAAGCCATTGGAGTAATTGAAAATGAGAGTAAGAGCATTGAGAGTGAAGATGAGTGCGTTGAAAAACATGAGCATGAAAGAAAAGAATGCGAGGAAAGGAAGTTTTGCTTTATACTAATCAATTTTTTTCTATTCATTCTTTGATTTTGCAGGTTATTCCAAGGGACATTCAAGATGATTCAAGCACCATATCTTTTGAAATTCCAAAAGATGTGTCAGTTGAAATTATAAAGAACATGTTCATTAACCTTCAAAGTACATTCACCTCATACTCAAGATCGAATGCACCTTATAAAAGGGAAGATTCAATGAACCTAACCATGGAGAACATTAAGAGTCCAAGCTCATTCATTCATGAATTTAATTCTTTCCTTTCCTTTGATTCTAAATTATCTACTTCTAACTTTGTTCTATTTTTCAGATTGTTGATTCAAAAGCAAAGACTTGAACATGTGACGCATTTTGAGCAAAGAAAACGATGCAAGATGAGAATGAAAGAATTTCCATTCAAACGAAGATCAAAGTTGTTCCCTTATTTACCAAGCATTGATTTGGGGACAAATCGCCTTAAAGAAGGGGGGATGAAGTGATCCTACCGACCACCAAGTTTAAACAAAACATGCTCACAACTTTGAAGTTCTTCCAAGATGATTCTAAGGGAGTCTTGCCTTATTTTATTATTTATTTACTTATTTATGCATTACATGTCATGTGAATATGTTTATCTTATTCTTAATTATGCTTGAATGTTATATGTTATCATTTATATGTATAATATATGATATTCATGCATGACTTATTAATTCACATCTTTATATAACTCATTCAATGCATATGCATTCATAGTTACCTCATTTGCATTATTATCATATGTGGAAGCATGCATTCATAATTATCATAACTCAATTCCTATCTAATTATTTGTTTACATACTTTGTCTAGGGTCATTGGATGCTAAGAAGACTAAAGGCAATTGAAGAGTTGGTTGGATAGTTCACGTCAGTCAGCTTGATCTACATTTTTGATCATGTTTCAAGCATCTTTGGGTGATGAAGTCTTCTTAACATTTAATCCCCTATCTCGTAGCTTTCCAACGCATTTTGAATCACATCAATCCGATATCGGGAGCTTGATCTATGCCCAGATTACTGAAGACAGTGCAGGCTGGAAATTAATACGGGATTTGCAACCATTCATCTCCTTCAAAGGACTTATGCATGGGAGGAATTAATGAAGACATGCATGGACGAGAAAAGAATATTAAAATGAATCAGAACATTTGTGAGGAGGTGCAAGGATTCATTCAAAGGCTTTTAAATTCATCCATTCATGCAAGAAGCCAAATAGTCATGTTCACACAAGGGGGAAGAATTTAAGCCAAGATACATTCATGAACATTCATCTATAGAAGACAAATCAACAAGTTCACACAAGGTGGGATGAATTCGGCCAAAGAATGTATTCCATTAAAAGATGAACATCCATTCATCAAAATTCATTCACCTAAGCCATGTTTTGTATCTACTTAAAGTATGAACACTCATCCATGAAGGTTCACTCATTAAATGTTTTGTATTCACACCATGTACTCTTAGGCCTATAAATAGATTTCCATTCATTTGTAAAAGAAACCAATTCACTTTGTTTAATCAAATATTTGTGAGTTTCTCGCTTTAGTTCTTAAGTGAACTTTATCGACTTATCAAGCTTATGCTTGTGGCGTCACCCCTATCTATGTCACCCTGATACTTCTGGTTCCTATCTCTTTATAGATAGTAGGTCAAAGTCCTTGTTTACCATCCCTTAAAGAAGTAATATAAAGTCTGAGTCTTTGTTCATTAACATTGGTTCTTCTTTGAGTCTTCTTTGAGATATTACTTTTCATATTCATCTCCATCACTATCATTCTACTTCCATTATCATACTTCATCATTTCCTTTAAACATATCACCAACTCATATATATTTTCCGTTTCCATATTTATCTTTCCATTTCATTACTTCCATTTAACCATTTTTTTAGCTTTCTTGTTTGTACAGAATACTTGTTGCTTTCCTAGATCGAAACAATCAAAAGTACAACCTTGACTTCACCATCCATCCAAGTGAGGCTAAGTTGAATTGTATCACACCACCTAAAAAGGCTAAAACACACGTGCCTCTTCTGTCCAACACCTTACAAATGCATAACACTAACATCACTCGGCCGTTTATAGCCTAGCTATCTAGCAGCAACCGAGAGTTTCAACATAAAAAAACATCCTCAATCCTTAATTCTACTTCAGTTACACAATGCTTAATTTACAAAATGGTTCCCCCCCTACAACATTAGCCAACACACTACTGATTATCGAGTTAAAAGCACGGTTTACTTCCATGGCAAGTTTGACATGCCTTGTGAGCGGTTGTTATAGTTATTATTGCAGGCTCCCATGCTCTGGTTAATCGGGCTACCCGGTCCACCTGAGGATTCGCTTAGAGTACCGTGTGAAGGTGAGCTGCTAACCCCTGGAGCAAGCTTTGGTGGGGCGGAGAGAGCTTCCATCTGGTATGCTGGTTTTGCTTCCTTTTGATTGTCCGTAATAAAGCTACCCACAACCACCTGCAATAAAAGCAATATGTAGCTCACTACCATTACCATATACCTGGGAAATGAGATGGCAAGTATTGTATGGAACCAAAAGCCAATAGAAGCATGATCAATCATGACGGTCAATTTTACATAATTAATTTAAAATATTCACATATATAAACGTGTGCACAAAGGAGAGGAGAGACAGAGACAGAGCTCGATGATAACTACTAGGCCATTACCCTCCAAAATACTCTAATGTTACATTGTTGATGGTTGACATAATGGTAAATATTATCCAACTTATAAGGTCTAAAACCACATGGAGTATTAACAATAGAATCAAACACAAAATATTTATCAGTTTTGTTAAGCTGTAGAAATTCTAACATCATTTTTCTTAAATTTAGAGAAACTTTTAATTCTAGTTCTGTTTTTTCTTCATCCCGTATATTGTACCATTCAGAAAAGATTGAAAATATTTGTAATATGAAAGCTACTTGCACAAAAGAATAATGTAATTAGAAATGTGAAATGATAAAGGGAAAAAAACCTGAACAGGGGATGCAGCCGTTAGAAGGCCAGCTACACTACCACCTAAAACACGACCATCGGAGCCAGACAATGACACACTTAACCCACCAGTTCTGCTCTGTTGACCACCATTTTCTGATGGAAGAAACGAACCAGAAAGTGACAGAATTTCAAATCGCCCCTGCACCATTAATGGGAAAGGAACATAACGACATTAGTATTAGATACTTCTGTAAAGCGGCGCTTCTCTCTTTATAAGGTTGTGATACTAATACATTTGGTATAATTGATTTTCATTATAAAGTTCACTTCAAGCACATCTTTAGTAGTATAACAATGCTTCCAGAAGCAGAATAATACCGTTGCCCTAGTATAAATACTAAGTTCTGCTATATGCCAATAACAAGTCCACGGAGAGTACGTCATATAAATAGCAGCATGCATTAACCAATATTATATAAGATGTTTTCTTTGTTCAATATTAAACAGGATATGACCATCCATCTATGCTTTGATGCTGACAATATTAGACACCATGGACAGATAACTAAACAATGACACAAGATACAAAAAATAACATGAATATGAAGTGAATATATGAATGGTTAGACATCTATATAATACAAATTATTAACACATCAGTTTTATATATAACTAAAATATCTTTAGTACGATTATAACACACACAAAAAATACATGAATATGACAAAGATACACAAATTGCATGATCAAATTGATGCTCTAGTATCTAGATGCCATTATTTACCTCCTTCCCACAGACACTAAGAAGAAAAAAAAGCTTCTTTTGCCTTGATACTAATCTTTTAGCGTATCACAAACCTCATAAGTTACAGTTCCACCAGATGTTGCTGGTTGGCAAAGAGTAACGTTTGATATGGCTCCATTTGCTGAGAGAATGCAAATAGCTCTGGGACCATGCTGAGAAATTGACATTATTTTTGACGATACATCCTAAAACCAAGTAGATACATAAAATTTTAGCTTCAGACCAGCCAATTAACTACAAGTATTATATCAATGAAAGTACAAATCCATTGCATTACGTAAAGAACAGTAAATTTCAAAGTGATGGATAGACTCCCAGTGAAGCAAAGGATTAAAACCCTTCGCTTTGGATTAGAAAAAAAGTTAATAAAAGAAAAGGTATCGCCCTTTACTACACTTTTAAGGAATGTCAGTTTAAAAAGTCACCATCAAGATCAAGTGATTCATTCCCACTTAGCACAACTATATTTATTCATTCATTTGATAAACAAGAATACTCTGGAACTAAATCACCAGAATAAATCTGGACTAAACCCACAACTTGGTGGAACTTGAACCCAAGACCTCAAAGTACCAACGGCCTCCTCCTTGCCACTAATCCATACCAACCATAACATTGCAAGTTGATTATAAATTGTGAAGTTGCAAAACTCGCAAGCATTATCAAAATTTTAGTTTACTCCAGTATTTCTCTGTTGTTCTCACTGGTTTCTGTTGTCAGAAGAGGAGTTTTGGGAAGTTATCCATTTCTCCAATTTGACCTTTTATTTTATCACATGAAAAATGCAAAGAATTAATGACAACTGTTTTCTCCATAGTCAATAAAGTTCTGAAGACTTAAATTGGAAGTGAAAACCTATACAGAAGCAAAGTAAATAAAAGAAGCTTAAGCAACTCATGACACATATTTGCATCTTGCAACAAGATGAACATGTCATTATTAATAAATGGAATAAAAATGAAATTCCTGAATAGTTATCTCTAGCAAGTAAGAGCAATAAGACAATGTTCTCGCATAAAGCAGGGAAAGCGGGAATGGAAGTTAAAAGGAGAAAGAGAAAAAACCTCTCCCACTTTAACAGTGATAACATGGGGCGTAAAACCAACCCTGCCTGATCCTGCAAAAAAAAAAAAAAAACTCCTTTAGTGAAATATGTCACCCTAGTAACAAACCAAGTACTAAGATAGCTCAGGCTTCTAAGATTTTTTTCTCTTTTAGAAGGTTGATAAACCATAGAGTGACAAAACATATGTGCTTTATATTGAAAAAACGAATGAAGGAGAAAAAGGAAAAGAAAAGAAAAAACAGAAATCTTGTAATAACACGAAAGCTGCAATTTTTCAGTATTATTCAGGAATGTGGGTGTATATTATATATATATATATAAGCACCCTTGGTATACGTTAATTTATAGCTACTAGCTATTAAATAAGAGAGAGTGAAGATGGGGGTTTTTTTTGGGGGGGTGGGGGGGGAGGAAAAGGGAAACAGGAAAATGAAGCAAGGGCTTGCACCAGTGACGCCTTTGAAGTCTAAAGTCGGATAGAACCGATCCCAAGTGGAATCAAGACCTTGGTCCCGTATTTAGTTATCTAAGTTACAATACAGACTACAGATGTAGATGTGATTCCACAGCATCACAGATACTACTTAATGTGTGATTATACTTATCTACTTAGTGGTAAATACTGTTATACTACTAGTTAATATTATCATTGCTCAGCACTGCAGCTATGACTCCATCTTCTGTCAGAAATCAGAACCCAAAATCAACACTAAAAACATAAACAAAATCAAAACAATCACTCCTTTATTATTTTTCCACAATACCCATTTGTTCTCCTCGCCAGCCATCCACATCATAATTAATTTCCAAGTATGAAGCATTTCAATTCCAAGCTATGGTAAAAAATGTCGTGGCTAAAAGACATTCATTAAATTAAAGGATTAAAAATGCTTTATTTTGCGTATCAACTATAAAGAGAAAGAGTACCCAGAGCGTAAAGTTTAGGCTTGTTGACGGAACCAGGAGGTCTACCCCTAGCCTTCTTTGTTGAAGTTGGTGAAGAAGCCGATCCTCCTGAAGGCGGTGGCGCAGGAGTTGTCGAGGGGAATCCTCCGCTATTAGATTGGGTTACGCTGAGAGTGGGAGGAGCTATAACAGACAACGGCATAATACTCTCCGGCCCATACTTCCTGGGCCTCCCCCTCTTCTTCTTCAAAGGCTCGCTCCCCGTGCTTATACTCATGTTCAGAGCTTGCCCTTGTCCTTGAGTCACCGCAGCCGGACCGGCGGACCCATCCGCTCCATCAACGCCGGAAGCCGGCTGATATGTTGGTGAGACGGAAGCGAGGGGCTTGTACACAGATGTTCCGTCAGCGCTAAAGGCAAAACGCATGTTCTGTATCACCGGCTGTGACGCCACCGGATTCTTCTGTTGCATGCTTAAGGTGTACGGCTCTCTACTCGCCATCATTCCCGTCTCAGATCCCGACATTTCCCCCCTTTTACGATTGGTGTTCTAAAATCAAATCATATATATGTGATTTTTAGTTCTTTCCTTTGCCTTTATCTAAGTAATTCATTAGATCATGAAGCAACAGCACCAGCAGCAGAACCTAAAATTTTGAAACAGCATAATACAATTATCTCAAATATGTAATGTTACACTGGCGCTGACTGCTAAAGATAATCATTGTTGAAAATGAATGTTCGGTGCACTGAACTCACCGGTTCGAACTCGAGAAGTGGAGACTTTCGAAAATGCTTGTATAAATCAAAATGGACTTTGAATTTTCAACTTGAGCGAAGAGCTTTCAGTTGATCAAGCTTTCAAAATTCACTGACGAAACCAGGAGGCTAACAAGTTAGCTTGCTCGTAAATCCCAGGGTGAAAAATCTGCATACAGAAAAAAAATTACTAAACGCCAAATTAAAACCCTAATAACTGCTGCAATCCTTTCAGTTTAAATCCCAAATCTACTGAACTTCGTGTTGCTTAACAGAGGTGAAGTCGCAATTTTTCAAAAAATAATGGCTCAAAAACCACGGAATTTCTGAAAAGGATTTTCTAAAAAAATTAAAAATTACAGTTTATAACAAAAATAATAATCTTTTATCACAAAAAATACGGAAAATATGAGGAAAAATCGAAAATTGCAAATAACTTACCAATAATAGGAAAATTTCACAGATTAAGAGAAGGATGAGAACAAAAATTTAGAAATTCTGAAGGAAAAAGGGAAAAGGCGCTGCAAACAACTTTTTCTAAAGAAATGTTGAGAAATCTGAATTTTTCAGGCGTTTTAGTATGAATTTTATTTTCTGTTTTGTTGTATTTAAAAAGTATACAATTAATAAATTGTATTTTAAATTCAACTAAAATAATTTTAAAATTATAAATTAATGAATTTATATTTATATTGCACATCCAGATATAAATAATAAATCTAATTCATTAATAATTTATTAAATATTTGGATATTATGAATCATGCTATTAGTAAAAATATTCATATTTTGTATACTAAAAATATTTCTCTTAAAATTTACATTTTAAAAAGGAAATTAAAATTTTTGAGTATTTTACTGAAAAAATAGCTTAGGTAATGGAAACTTTAACTCACAGTACAACTGTACAAGCTTGCTTTTAACTGCATTTACTCCTTCAGTACGCGCCCGTTACCTTTTTACCATGCACTTGCTTCCCTACTGGTTGGTTCCTTTTAAATTATCTCGTAATTTACGCCTTTAAATGATACCAACATTCTTAGTTGCAAAGCAATTTGGGGAATAATTTTATGTCCAAATTTACTAGTAATTTATTTTTTAGTTCCAAGTAATTATAATATATGTATAGTTATTACAATTAATTTTAAAATAAAGAGAAAATTAATAATAAGAATATATTCGAACATATTTTAATAATTAATGAAATTAAATTTAATAACATTTAAGGTCCTTGATTTTTTGCAAAAATAAATAATGTGAACTCTTTAACTTTTTATCATATTCAATATGATCCTTAAATTTTGTGAAAAAAATAATCTTAAAATGATTACAGAATGAAATGTTAAATCTTTAAAAATAAATTAATAACTAAAAATATAATTTATTTATGAATTAAACCTATCAAGTTTGGATTTCATAGGAACATGTTACATACATAATTTAAAGCCTAGTTAAGAGTTATAGTAAAATGTATGTAGAAATAATTGCAGGTAGCCAAGCCTAAAGCCCAAGGCAAAAGGTGCTGCTTTGTTCTAGGATTCGAGTGTTCAATAATATCAATCAAAAGCCAAAACAAAACACTTTCGATTACTACATTGTTTTTTTTTTGCATATTTAAATACTGCAAATTCTGATGGATTTAGACATCTTGATTACTATAAGTAGTACATTCAAATTTAATTAATTTATATTCTAATTGGTTTTTTTAAAAATAAAAATAAATGTGACGCTTAAATTTAAGGTACTTAGTTGACCCCCTCTTTTATTATTATTTAAGTAATAGAGATAAAGGTATAAATAAATAGAAGAAGACTCCTTCTTTGTACACAAATCATATTTTTTTTGGTCATTTCAGTTGAAGGAAAATGCATTTGAGAGCTTCCCCCATGTTTTGAAGTCAAAGCTCTCATAACCATGTCTGCATATGCAGGAGAATCCACCAGCGACAAGACTATCTATCTATACACACACCCAAATGCTGGGGTCTACTACAACTATGAAAAAGAATCATATGTTGATTCTAGACACGTATCCTTCTTTTTTACACCATTTTTATTTCCCTATGTGGTTGGTTGCTAGAATCCCTTTCCAGCATCCCATCACTGCTGGCTTCCCAACCAGCTGTACATACTAACGTTCTTTATAAATACAAAAGGTTAAAGACAACACCACCACCATCAAGGAAGACTTCTCGCCTTCCTCCATATTGCTTCTCCACCATCTGGAGCGACTCGGACGAAATTGACTTCTCTGGTGAGCATGACTACGTACAACCTGCACAAAGATTGAACACCGTAAGGCCAATACCCTAAAAATATTATGATACACTATTCACCGTATGCATTCAACCTCAAGTGTGTTCCTTCATCACAAATTTGCTAAACAGTCATTATGATACTTCTCATAGTGTCATAATCATTATAAGAAGCTCATTTCTTCAAATTATTAACTGAATACTAAACCCACACCAGAACATATCCCTAAAACAATACTGCAGGGAAGAAAATTACTGTATGTATAACAGTGCAATGAGAAAAGTTATAATACCTGTAGAATGCAAAATAAATAATTTGCAAGGCTAGATCCGAAGCCTGCCACTCATGTAGCAGTTCCGCTGCTCTTAGTCCTTCTGCAATCTAAGGATACCTGAATCGATGGAAAAAGACACCAGCCATGGTTAATTCCATGGCAAGAGGTCCAAACAACCTAAGAACTTCATTTCCCGAGATGTGACAACTTACCTTGATCAACTCCTCACCCAGTTGTTTGGTCAGAATCACTACCTTGCATAAACTTAGTAGTTACAATAAATTGTGGCTGTGCTGGAACAGATGCTGCTATACCTAAAAAGCAAGCACACTTGGCTGATAAGTTGTTCTATGCATTTACAAACTTAAAACAACTGGGGCCTGCTATAAGGTTCTCAGAGCCACCTTTCAAGATTGATAAAAAAATAAACGGAAGTTCATTCATGTGCACCACAATTCTCTAAGCTTAACCAAAGAGCCCATTCTCTATATAATTTCTAGTTTACATATAAACTCATAAACGTATATTTTCTTAGAACGCAAAGCAAAAATAAATTTGATCAACGAAATATAAAGGCGAAGATGTACTGGTCTCTAGATATGAAGAGGAAATAAATCATTGGCAGACAGAGTTGGGGGGAAAAGCAAAGCCAGTAGCGTAAACAAGGGCAAAATGAAATTTTCATATTGATATTAACCTCCAGGATACGGTGTTTGGATTGTGGCCATTGGAGAAGTTGTGATTGCATTAGCAACGGCTCCTCCAAACTGCACTATTTGATGACTTGGCACTGCATATTCCTGTACAGCTGTATAACAATGCCCGCTAGGAACATTTTGACCCACTTGTCCATATGGATAAATAGCTGGGTTAACTGCTCCAGGTACTCCATATATCTGAAGGTACTGCTGAGCCATGTAAGGGTTGTAAGCACCCTGTCCAGAGAAACAATAATAAATCAGGCATCGAGGTACAAACATTACTTGCTCCATTCTTTCCACAACATTGCACTTTGTAAAGCCGCTAACCTGAGGATAGACATTCAGGTCCATATGTTGCATACCTGCACAGATAAACATATATCAAAGATCTCAAGAAGTTCAGCATTGATTAGGAGCTATGCAATACATTTTATTCCAAAATGAAGTTATAGAAAGGTCAAAAAAACATTATTATTCATCACATCAGAAAAACCAAGTCTTCCAAGCGATATACCGGAACACTACTATCGATGAGCCATACCAAGGCCCAAAAACTTCATAGGTAAAATCATAAAGCCTAACTACTCAGCCCATGAGAATAATCACATCCCCCCTTCTCCCAACATTTCTTTCCTTTTGATCCTTATCAAATCACAATCATGATCTTGCCTGTTCAATAAACATTGAGCTCGGGCACATATCCTCTGCAACTTCCAATTTTGCATTCCTGCAATTACCAATCACACCATGTCATATGACTGTACTTCGGCCTAATTAATCCTGAATTCTAACGTAAAGACTAAAAACTCCTTGGCCATTTTGCATGCTGTGATCGGTTTGAACTGCCATGAGACAAGGAGAATAATTAAAAGAGGAGAAAGTAGCTGCAAAAGGAGATGTACCCAATTGAACTCTGATTAGCGAGCTTTCCATAATGATCCAACTACATTTCAGGTTGACGAGGAACATAGAGCGCACACAACCATATTTATGCTAAGGATACAGCCTATTCCTCGTCAACAATTAAAGAAGATATGTTTCTGCACCTACTGTTGTTCTTGTGCAGAAACCTCACGATCCACACATGACAAAATTTCTAATGATAAACAAGCTTTACACAAACTAGCCTAGAGTCCTGCAACTGCAATACAATTTACCACGACAGCGAAGCAAAAAAATACTTAATATGCACATCCTTTCAAATCCAAGCGGAAAATCCCAGGAAATTATCACATAAGAGACACATAAAAAGTGCTGTCACGTACTTGTATCAAAGTCAATTGCAGGCAAAATTATGTTATTTTTATTTATTTATGAAATTCGAATTTAATATTGAATTTTTTGAAGCGAGTTCGGATTTCAATTAAACTCAAATTATATTTGAATCGAATCTAATTTTAGAATAAATTCTATCCATGTTACTTTTTGATCGTAAATTCCGAATTCAATATCAACTTTTTTGTCACTCGAACAAATATCAACCAATCAAAGCTAATTGCAACTCATAAACATAAGCTGGAGTTGGTGGTAAAAGGTTTAGGTTTGTGGTTTTCTTTCATTGAACCGGTTGGTATATTATATTTAGCATATAGACCCTAATATTTTTGCAATAAAAAAATATCTCAAACATTGTGCCCCATCTTCACCTCTAAGACCTGCAAATACAGATTGGGTTGAAACAATAACAGTCCAAATAAACCCATAGATTCAAGTGTTTGATCATGCAGAAACAGGAGTGAAAACCAACAATGAAAAAAATCTTCGGCATGAAAAAAAAACATAGTACTTATAACAATGATGTGTGGTGGTGGGGACGCAGAGGCCATTAACATGTGCTGCCTAGAACAAAATCATATCTGTCAGTTGCTATTCTTTATTCTTTGACAACTTCCTTAAACAGGAAAGCCTATTCCTGTTTTCTTTCTTTTGGGTTTAAAATTGTTGATGGGGGTATCTTGCAATGGCTAATGGCCTACTTGCTAAGTTGCTACTCTGAATTCTGCAATTTTCTGCATCTTTTAACTGTTACATACACGGCAGACTAGTGTAAGCATTACATGCATGATTAATTGATTGTCATGATGATACATGTGTGACGACATTAAATTATACTTGTTTTCTCACTTTGCATTTTAAATCTTTTTTTATCCCATTTCACTTGCAAAGGTTTGAAAGTTACATTAATTTGCTAAATCTCCATTGACCTTCACTATTTTATTTTTGATGAGATTTCAATCTTCCCTTTCCATCAGTTTTTTTTCCCAACCAGTTCCAACATTCTTAGACATAGAAATCCACAGGGAAAATTACAACTAATTCAACAGTACCAAGTTTACTTATAGTTACATTTCTCCTAAAACGAGTCTGGCCAAAGCCACCTAATCTAAACATGATGAGGCTCACATTGATCCCTGCTCAAAAGGGACACGGACAAAGAGTCGACCATGCAAGCTAACAACAGCGGATGTCTGCAGTGGATCGATTCTCGCCGGTAAGGTCACTACCTGTGCAAACCACACCAAATTAAGATCAACTCAACGAATCTTCCTAACATTTTCATCTCAAATAAGATGATAAAACTATAAAGAATATTAAGTACAGTGCCACCAAAGACAGAATTAATTCCTCCTATTTTGTGTATTCTCACTATGTTATCAAGCATGTAATTGAGGACTTGAGGAAAGCTACAGATGCTGTACCTTCTTAAAGGGGGAGATACCCCAAGGATTGTCAACATGCTCTGGTTCACCTGTTATAACCAACCGTCCAGCAGGATCTGATTGAACTCTTACCTAGATTTACATCCAGTGAAAATTAATAGAGACTAAAGCAATATGTAATATGAAACACCAAACATATTTTCCAATCGAAGGAATTTAAAAATCATAGTAACAGAATCCAAAAGGACCAAAAACTTTCCATGAATTTGAAAGCAGAAAAGCAGCTAAAAATTTGTTGAGTAGGAAATAAAGCCCCCAGATATATCTATTTATTTCTTGATGCTCACCATAGCTTAGGAAGAACATGGAAATCCAAAATATTTTTTTTGATAAGAATATGGCCTCATTAAAAAACCCCTTCATAGCCATCAAACTCCGAAAAACTCAATAGTCATAGGAAGGAGGAAAAGAATGCCCAAAATTTATTACCAGAAATAGGATTACATCCAAAAGCAAACAGATACAATACATAGGTCCCAATACAAACACCCAAAACAAATTCCCAAATAACAGAACCAAAACACCTATCCTCACACTATCCTATACCCGGAAAATCCAAAATATTTTAAGATATCATTTAACCAATCTAACAAATATTGGGAACTAATGAGACAAATTACTAGACCATTTATTGCTACTGGCATTGGTAAATTACTGAAAATAACAACAGACACGTGAGTTTTTTGCATACTTATCTATGTAATCATCCGCAAATACTATAGGTTGCAAATGCCAACTGTCAAAGATCATATCAAATGTTTACTAATTTACATCACATCATGTAAAAAGGATTTCAGGACAAGTGCATACCTCCTCACGCAGGAGTCCAGGGACCAGAGCATATACCTCAAAGCAATCCTTCTGTCCATTTTAAGGCCAGAGAAACAACTCAGAACTCAAAAGTCAAAACCCCAACACAAGTTGATCCAAAACCGATTGTAACTGAAACCAGTTTTGTAATAATTTTTTTATATGTGTGTACACTGGGAAGGAAACAAGGGTTACTTACAGTTTCACGGACATTGATCTTCACCCAATCAGCAGGGGTTCCCGCATCAACAATCTCGGTGACCAGTCTACATCAAGAAAAATCGCATTGATCAGAAAGTAGAATAAAACAACAATCAGGTTAGTTTGAGCAAGTTTAATATTTCTCGACTTCTTCATGGGCCCGACATCCCTTCACTTTCCCTTTTCTAGCAGAGGCATCAAATGATTATTGTCATCCTAGAACGGGGTTGGAATAGGACTGATGTTATCTGTGTGGCCTTCTTAAGGGATATATGAAACATCAATAGCAAATTGTATGGGCCTACAATAAAAGGGTTCTTAAACCTTGCACAGATTAGTGAGAAACAGATTGGTGCTTAAAGTTTCTTTGTACATTTAAATTAAGAGTATTCTTCTGTCGTCAGGCTTTGCACTGGCTCATTTTTTTCAAGGTGTTCCTAGCAGCAACGGGTGCAATAAGAAAATATCAAGAAAAGGATTCTTTGCATTAAATCAATTATGCAGCCGTAAATGATTCAAATATTTCTTCTTTTGATGGAAGAACCTTTCGTAAATTAATAGAATGAAAAATCGTCTCCATCTTCAACTTAAACTTTCAATTATGTAGAATGTAAACAGAGACGGAAAAAAGAAAACCCTAAATAAAAATAACATATAGCTAAGTGATTAGCAAATATTAACTGCTTATCTGATTCATGTCCAGATTCCATGTTTATTGGTGTCTTCTGCTTCTGCAAACCTGGAAAAGAAACCAAAAACAATATGAAAATTCATGGCAATAAAGGTACAATTAAGTGTATTTTTGCAACATTATTATTAATGATATTCTTTAATTCTTTTTTTCTTTTAAATATAATAGAAAGATCTAAACATATAGCAGCATACCAATGTTTTTGAGATGTCTTTCACGCTTCAGAGTAGGACTCGAGATCTTATCCTGTGTAGAGGAATTCTTGTACCACTTAGACTTTTGCATTATAAGAAATGATCCAAAAATAGGAATACAACAATATAAAAAATTAGAGATGATAACAAGGTTTAATTATTCAACAGGCCTTAATGATAGGCTCGGTAACCTCTCCATATCCAACAGAACGTTGAGCATGCCAACCCTGCATGGCACGAGCCGCAGCATCCCTGCGTGCCCTTCCTGACCCCGGAAGGAAGCCACTTGACTGCACGGGAAACTCGGAAAACATTAGAAAAAGTATGCCTTACCAGAAATGGTGAGAGGAAAAGAGTATGTCATCAGTTTACTCGTATGAAATTCAGCTTCATGTCAGTATATCGAATGGAAGATGGAAAACTCAAAAATATATCACCAGACTGTTGTCTAATATGAAGAAATAAAATCCTACCTCCTTTTCACCACTTGCATGAGGCAGTGGGGAAGCAGGAAGTTGAATCTCACCATTCTCCCTTTTATACTTTTCGTATTCTAATAGTGCCTGCTCAACCGTAAAACAATCAGTCAATAGGAAATACAACCTCAAATACAATTATTGTTACAAAAAAAGTGTAAATCAATGAACTTTCCTTTTTACCCAATCAGACAGTCAAATAGATTATGTGAAATATTGGCAGTGCTATCAGTTTACCATGTTTATTATTTAGTTTGGTTTGGATAAACATGTCTTTGAAAATTTACACTATGATTCTGATTATACCAAGAAAAAACTACTCTAGTTTATTTAGTGGTTCAAAGATATGACAGATCACAAGAAATATTGGCATCGCTATCAGTTTGCCACATCTTTATTATTTAGTTTGGTTTGGATAAGCATGTCTTTGAAAACTTTCACTATGATTCTGATTATACCTAGAAAAAAACTAGGCTAGTTTCATCTAATGGTTCAAAGATATGCTGGGGAGGGGCAGGCAAAACATCTACTCCAGTAACTACACAACTTAGATACAAGTAAAGTCTGTCTCATATACACATTAGTCTAAAAAGCACGTGGCAGAAATATAACTTTCACAAAGAACATGCTCAAGACAATCCCCAAATTCATTCCCAGCACAGGAAGAATGTTATCTGTGATATGTATCATTTATTTTTAATGCATGATACCAAAAGAAAGGGCATATGCATATGCATGTGCATGTGCATGTGCATGTGCATGTGCATGTGCATGTGCATGTGCATGTGCATGTGCATTGCTATTTCTTTTCTTTTCTTTCTTCCTTTTCACTTGATGGTTTAATTTTAATTAAATGTGTCAATGAAGGATTGTCTTGGCAGAACAACAAGACTGGTACATTATGATCTAGAAGTCACATTTCCAAGGCATGGAAACAGCCTCATCTCACAGCGAGCGAAAAGTTACATGTATTATACCCACAGTTCTTACAATAAGGCAGCTAGTTAATTGTCCCAGCCAAAAAAGCATACCTTCTCATAGAAAATGCGGAATGTCCAAGAGACAGTTGTGCAGGTCCTGGGAGAAAGAAAGAATTAGCTACCAAAGTCAATCAAGAGAATAATATACACTTCCACAAAGAGCATGTCATATAAAGTACTTTGTGTTAACATCAAATGCAACGGGGAAACTATTGGGATTGAAACATAACTTTGCATAAAAATGTGCATTGAAAAAACAGAAAGAATAAAAAACGATCTTTCTCCTTACTTTGGGGGGTTGAAAGACTCTCCCACTTGCCGCCATAACTTTGATGCAGTCACCTATAAGTATCGATCGTGAAAAAATCAATTTATATACTGATGATGTAAAAGAAGGTAAATCATGAGAAAACTCCCAACAATCTTCCAGCCTTTAAAAATCACAAACTATGTCCCACAGGTCACGATCCAGGGTTTAGAGCAAAACATATAATAACCAGGTTATATTGTAAATAATCAACACATTAATAATTTTTGCCAAAAGGTAATCCTAAAGGACATAAAACTCTTATTCACGGAAACAAGGATTTAGAGAGTAAATATGCATCCAGCTTATTATCAGACTGTTAGGATCTTAAATCATATATAGTCACTCCCTAAAAATCGAATTGAGTATCTATATTTGACTTGGCATGTAGATCAAGAAAAAATTTAGAACTTTAATGTTTCATATATCATTGGATTAAAGCTCTTGAGTCATGTTGCTAAAGGACCATTTGGGAAGCTTTAAGAAAATACAAAATATTAATATGGTAAGTGAAGAAAAGTAAAGGCTTAGGTGTTACAAGAAAGAAAGGACGACATGTGAAAGGGGTTGGTCGATTGCATTCCTATTATTTTATACACTTCCTGAATCAACCTTCTGTACACTTCTTAACGGAAACATAATTATGTGCAAACCCATTTAATGACACAAAGTTAAAGATCAACAGTGGATATTTGTTTTTTATAGAGAGCCACAAAAGTTTTCTGAAAATGTTTGCAGATAATTCACTCTATAATCCAACTCTCAACAGAATATCCTAGAACTATGATATCCCGCAAGCACACCCAAACTTAGCTACCCTCAAATGTGTGTGTCTTGCATTATATTTAGAGGCCTGCTTATACATCAATTATTAATACCTTTCCAGAAGTGGATTTAAATGAATCATTAAAAGTTTGCCCATAAGTCACACAATCGCTTTATTGGAAAATCATAATTGAAGGAGTTATCCTGCTCTAATATGCTTTAAAACAGTAAACGTGTGTTGTATCCTTTATACATCAAATTAGAAGCAAAACAAATTAAAACTCTTGCAATCAGATCTTGGGTTCAATCCCTAGCACCCATACCACCTTCCATTCTAGATATTGTATAATACAACTGTCATCGTCCTGTTAAATAGGAAATTACAACTTTGGAAACTTAGTAATTACTGCATCTTTAATAAATAAAACAAGGCCTTGCTAGAATTTAATCTTATTCACCTTCAAAAACAAGAAACAAATCCAAACCAGTTTACACGTAAACGAAATCAGATTGTTTGCAACTGTATACTTGTTAAAGCCTAAAGCCATTAGCTAGGAGTATAATGCATTATCACACACATTAATAAATCAAATCGAATGTAACCTCTGACTTGTCAGTGCTTGTTATGTGAAGTAAATGGGAATAGCAAAGGATGATTTAAGGGTTCAGAGAAAAAGCTAAAAACATCAGTTAATGATATCAGAATATGCATGCATACCACATCATAGCCGCCCAATTTAATAACTGCTCTCCACAACCTACATCGAATGCAAATATACAAAAAAGCACAAATTAGACTGTGAGGAAGAGTAGATTCATAACCTGAAAATTCAAATCAAGGATCACTACAAACTCACTTAAGGCAGTTTAGCGGTTCTCCATAAAATTTAGGAGGCTTGAATTCCAATGACCTATCCTTATAGAAACTTTCCAGCTCCTTCATAAATGCTGCTCGCTCCTCTAGTGTTCCAGCTTCATCGGCCTCAACCATCTATATACCAAACAACAATATGAGTTAAAAATAGGATAAACAGAATGATCAACGCTTTTTTGCTAATGTCAGATCTTAGAGAACATTTCTCTCATGTACCTCAGGATCCAGCAACCAACTCCTTGGCTTCTCCACCCTCTCGGGTTCAGATTTAGGTGTAGAAAGAAGGGGAGCAGCGTCTCCATTGCTTTTCTTCTCTGGTGGTTCAGCAGGAGAAGCATCAGCAGGAGGAGCATCAGGCAAATGTGGAGTATCAGTCATGTCAACATCAGTGGGCATGGTCAGAGTCTCATCAGCTATTGTTTCATTGGCATTTTGATCCTCAGTGGGGTTTGAGGGCTGTTGTTGTTGGAAAGCAGTATCAGCAAGGTTAACTTGAGAATCCTCGGGCAGCTGTTGTTCCAACATTTCGGTATCTCCCATCTTGCTTATATAGATTCTCCTGTCTGCATCAACAGTTGAATTGATGATTTACTGTACCAAAAATTAAAAAAAAAAGAAAAAGAAATACAAGAGACAATGGTAATCTCCAAAAAGCTCAATTGTCAAATACGTTATACAAAAACCGAACCCTAACTCATAATTCTTTTGTCAAAACCATATAAATCCTAGAAACAGACCGAATCACTGACTCAAAAGAAACAATTGGGAGAGGGGCAGCAGCGGCCACTCGTTGTCGGACTAACATTGCTATAGAAAGTATCGTACTTACACAGTTCAACGGTTACACTTTTCACCTGAGGCTGGAATTATTGAATTCTGATTTGGATTCGCTCGCCACTGCCAACTTAGCTACCAAATACAAAGTCTCTTTCCTTTTATGCCACACGCGGCTTGGCTTGGCTTGGCTTGGCTGCTTGGGTCTTCTACCTTATTACCGTAATACTAATAATAATAAATGAATTGAAACAAACAAACAAAACCCAGTAAATGGTGCGTTAGCTCTTATTTTGCCCAAGCGGTGCGGTGGCTTACGCTTCTGGTTGTTTCAATTCCCCCTTCTCTCGGTTCTCACCCCTACCAGGCCTGGCTGAGCCACCCCATCTTGCTTCTTTCAAAGTTACCAATACTATTGCCTGCTATACTCTAAGCCCAATTTTCGTATCTCCTATTTGGGCCCCCCTCCTATGCATATTGTTACTATTATCAAGAACAAAATTGAAATTAGTCGAATTTTATAATTTAAATTTTATAAAAGAAATTGAATCAAATCACTAAATTATTTGAATTATGTTTAAAATTAATTATCAATATTTATAATATTATAATAAAATTTTATTTTAATTTAAACAATTTTCTATAATTATATACATATATTTTGTAGAGTTAAGAAACTAGATTCAAACCTAAAGATCAATCTATTAATTACAAAAAAAATTTAAGTTATTAAAGTTATATTTTTAAACTCAATTTAAAATTTATATTTTTTTAACATAGCAGTTGAAATTTTTAGCATCGGTTCTAATTGAACATTTAATTTTCTTCAAATCAATTTGATTTTGCCTCACCTCTAAATGTGACAATCAATACATATATTATAATAAAATATATAATATAATATTTTAAAATGTTTACTGTAATCTACTTTATCTAATTCAAAATTTATAACAATCTTAAAGGTATTCAAATAAAATAAACGAAAGTTAAAAAGATCCTAATAAAATATTACCTTAAATATTTAAGATAATTATAAGGTAATATATGTTCATGATTTTTCATACCCTGCAAACATAACTGCTAAACCCAAGACCTGAAAAAATAATCCTCTCTTTAATCACTTACATCGCTAACCTAAAACCCCAAATACTAATTATAAATCCTAATATTAAACATTAAATATTAAACCTAAGGTACTGACCCCTAAAACACTAAATTTTAGACGCTAAATTCTACTTGCTAAACCCTAGACATCAAATATTAAACATTATATCTTAAATCTAAATTTTTAAAGCATGTGTTGATTCAATTATTCTTTACTAGTTCATCAGCCAAAGTAAAATAACAAACAAATCGGGGGGGGGGGGGGGGGGGGAACTACTAGTAGTCCTAATCGTACGAATGCTTGGGAGAAGCATATAGTTTTTACTACAAAACTCCCCCCCCCCCCATGTTATCCCCTGTGCAGTTTCAAAGAAAATCCTTGTTCAGATCTGCAAAGTAAGGATGTTACATGGCTTTCCTGGCTGAAATACGCTTCGAGGGATTGTTTTGCAACATCTTCGATAACAGGTCTAGCCCATCGCTATCCATATTAGGAACAGCTGATGACAGACTCTCAGAGCTCCAGTCGGGATAGTCATGCCAGTTTGGTAGTTTGCTCACTCCAGGCCACATTTGTTCATTTGGAGTACCCAACAACCTGCAACGATGAAAATTGGAAACTATCAAAATGGGAAACACCACTCCATAATGGGTGATGTAGGGACTAGAGAGGGGCATCGTAGTGTACCTGAAAAATATTAAGGAGCTGCTGTAGTTCAGAATCTCCGGTGAATAGGGCAGTCTTGGTGTACAGTTCAACTAAAACGAATAAATACATTATTTAGTGAATCGAGAAGTATGAATCTATGTTTACTCGGATGTGAGTGTTGTTGAATAAGTACATTGTTTAGTGAAACAAATCCATGTTTACTCATATGTGAGTGTTAATTGCTGAATACATGTATGTATGTGACACGGGTATAAATACATGATAACAAGTGAGTGAATAATGATAATAACAAGGAATAAAGACATTATTTAGTGAATTGAGTAATAGGAATCTATGTATGGTTGAATACATGCATGCTTGTGATCATTTTTAAATTTAATCTCTTTACATATTTAGAAGTCGAGGGCACGAGTCAACAGTGTTATTTTATTGGGTTGAGTCTTTGAGCCACTTACTTCGGCGATTTTCCCGGTATATCACCGGTGATCGATATTATTATCGATCTAACACCGGTCAGACTATATTTTCCGATTTAACACCCATAGCAGGAAAGCGCGCCCCCTGAACCGCGCTATATGCAGATTTGGCGCCACGTGGGTATAGCGCGCCCCTTGCCCCGCGATATACGGTGATCTGGCGCCACGTGGGTATAGTGCGCCCCTTGATCTGCGCTATACCTGGATATCTGACACGTGGGGTATAGCGCGGTGCAGGGGGTGCGCTATACCCCTAAGTACCCATCCCTTCACGTCCCCATCTCTCTATAAATACCCCATCCTCAATCACTTTTATCACACCAAATTCTTTCAAATTCTCTAAATTTCTCTCAAATACTCTCTTTTAAGGTATATTTTATAATATTTTTATTATTATGTTTTTACTTTATTTAATATTTTATTAATATAATTCTTGTGCAGATATATAATAGAAGGCAATATACTTCGCTCGGATGGAAATCATATATCTCTACATTTTGCTGATACGGTAACATTTTAACGTTTTAATTTAATTTAAATTATTAGTAATATTTAGTTGATTTATTTAATGCATGATTATTAGATTAAGAATTAAATATCTCGACACCTTACTAATACGGTAACATTTTAACGTTTTAATTTAATTTAAATTATTAGTAATAATTAGTTGATTCATTTAATGCATGATTATTAGATTAAGAATTAATTTTTGTAATTATTTATTTTTAGGAGAATGACCGTGTATTAGATCCTTTTATTAGGAATCTTAAGTTAGTGATACCCAGCTGTGTCTTGCCGTATTTAGTAGAGGCTGGATTCGGTTACATAGGTAGATATCAGGGTCATTGTAAGATAGAGCCAGACCTGATTTCTGCCTGAGTAGAGCGGTGGAGGCCGGAGACCCACACATTCCATCTTCCGTGCGGAGAGTGCACGATCACGCTTGAGGATGTTTCTATGCACCTGGGGCTTCCGGTGGATGGAGATGTGATATCGGGGATAACTTCCAGTTCTTGGACTACTTAGTGTCGGGATAGTCTAAGACGTGTCCGGGAAAATTTTATCGGAGGTAGGATACCGTTAAATTGGTTAAATGCCAATTTTCGGGAGTTGAGCGCAGACGCCTATGAGGATGAGGTTAAGATGTATGCACGGGCATGCATACCGCAGCTGATAGGAGGGTTGTTGATGCCGGACAAATCGCGCAACCTAGTTCACTGCATGTGGTTGCGACATCTTAGCGACTTTCATCTCGCCGGATTATTCAGTTGGGGCTCGACAGTTTTGGCTTTGTTGTACAGGGAGATGTGTGGAGCCACTGACTACAGGCGTAATGCTATCGGCGGATGTCTCCTGCTGCTGCAGTCTTGGGCTGGTATCGATTACCCTTTTTATGTCCCATTGTGAAGAACCCATTCGTATTTCCACTACTTCTGAGGTAATTATAAACCTGATTTTGTATATTAATAATTTTATACAGCGTATAACAATTTTTTTCCTTGAATAGGTGGTCTAATGATAGGAAAAATCATCAGGAGCTACCTAATGATTAAGAAAAAATTAGGGTGTTAATCGATCAGAAGGCTGGCACACAAGTATGAATTTTAATGTTTAAAAATCGATTTTAGATTATAGTTATATAATTAGATTATTATTTTGATAAAAATTATATATTATTTGTTTTAGTTTGAATGGGTGCCATATTCTACTGATGATGTTAGGGCGGTGATCCCACCTGAGTTGAGGGGTCTATCAGATGTTTGGATGGTGCTGGTCCCTCTGATCTGTTATGCGACCGTCGAGTGGCACTCCACTGATCGCGTGCTCCGGCAGTTTGGTTGTTTTCAACCAATTCCGAAAGCACCTCGCAATATGGACGAGTTGCATAGCTTAGATAGACGCGGCAAGACAGATACAGATTGGCTGGTGAGGCATCATGGGTGGGTCGTGTTGTGGGAGGATCGACATCGGCGCCTTCCCCGTAGAGAGCCCATTTTTGATGACCTCTTGATGTATGCTGAGGATTATTATGAGTGGTTCATCAGTAACGGGAAACCGTTTCTATTTCCCGAGGATGCACGAGGGCAGACCTTTCCACGACGTCGACAGAGACGTTCACCGACACAGCACCATCGTCCCCCGACTCGTGGAAGGAGAGAAGGTGCTTCCGGTTCATCCTCAATTGCATCAGCAGGACCTTCCCAGCAGCCACCGCAGCCATATATGATGCCGCAACCATATATGATGCCGCCATCGCCTTTCCATTACCAGATGTCGCCGCCGCCGCCTTCACCTGGTTTTATGACCCCGCCACCGTCACAGATGACCCCTTCTGGAGGCTATTATGGGTCTATGTTTGTAGATCCGACTTGAGGTTCATATGCTGGATATTTAGCGGGTTCATCCTCATCACCCATGGCCGCAGCACAGACACCTCCTGTACAGTTTTCACACTCAGCGATGTCTGGGTTTTCCCAGTTTTTGTATGCCGGTGGGATAGTCAGTCATACACCTCCAGGGTCCTTATTCTATGGAGGTTCTTCATCGTCATCAGCTCCTCATCAACCTGATGTACCTGCTCAGGACGACAACGATGACAACGATGATGATGGTGACGACGACGATGACGATGACGATGATGATAACAGCGAGGAGTCAGAACCAGTGATACGAAGAAATCCTCCTCGAGACCGACAGCCACCGCCATGCGGAACACATTCGCGCCGTAGGCATCGATAGATTTTTTGTTTAATTGTAATTTTTTATTATTTCTCATTTAATACTTACTTTATTTTTGTTAAATTTGTTGGACTTTTTTTTAATATATTTTAGTTAATTTTGTTTATTACCATTTAATATCAGTTATTGTAATTTGGTTATCATTTACCACTTTATTCTTATTGTAAGTTTGTTGTATTTAAATATCAAATTGTTATTAGTTTGATAAAATTTAATAATTGTGTTCATTTTTTTAATCTTCATCAGCGATTATCGAATGACATTAACTTGAAGTAAATGCAA